GATCACGAGGTCAGGAGTTGAAGACTAGCCTGACCAACATGGTGAAACCCTGTCTCTACTAAAAATACAAAAATTAGTCAGACGTGGTGGCATGTGCCTGTCATTCCAGCTACTTGGGAGGCTGAGCCAGAAGAATCCCCTGAACCTGGGAGGCAGAGGTTGCAGTGAGCCGAGACTGTGCCACTACACTCCAGCCTGAGTGACAAAGCAGGCTCCATCACAAAAAAAAGAGAATATCCTGTTGCAGGATTCTTACTACAGACATATTATGATAGAATATCACAGTATTAATTACCATGAAAATACCTACGACTACAGTTTACCTCTGAAATAAGAATATAAGGTAAAGAACAAATTCAAAGTAATCGAATAATCAGGCCAGATGCAGTGGCTCATGCCTGTGATTCCAGAACTTTGGGAAACCAAGGCAGGGGCGGATCACTTGATTCGCCTGGTCAACGTGGCAAAACCCTGTCTCTACTAAAAATGCAAATATTAGCCATGTGTGGTGGGGCACACCTGTAATCCCAGCTGTTTGGAAGACTGAGTAAGGAGAATCAATTGCTTGAACTCAGGAGGAGGAGGTTGCAGTGAGCCAAGATGGCACCACTGCACTCCAGCCTGGACAACAGAGCAAGACTCTGTCTCCAAAAAAAAAACCCCAAAGTAATCAGTAAAGAAAAAAATTATTTTTTTCTCAAACGGCATTAAATTACTCATAGTCCCCTCTGAAAATATCTATCTAAGACATTCTTGTAATTTTCCTGACAGTAACTGGCTCACGGTTTCACTCTCTACTTCATTCCTTGCTTTCATGACCTAAACACTTGCAATGACTTTTCTAAGACTCTGGCCTCAATTCCAATATCCATCTCATCTTCTCTATTCCAAACTGAACTGATCATTTGTTCGGGATCCTGAACTTCTGAAGTTCCTCTTTCTGATCATAAGTTTTTGCATTCTACTTCTCTCACTTTATTCCTGCTGAAACTGCTCTTAGCCTTCCTGAATACTAACAGCCCCTTAATCATTTCTCTCTCCCTAAATCCACCAATCCCTTGATTCCTTACTCAAACCCAAACCCAAGTAAGTCATTCCAAAAAAGCCTTGCTAGCTAGCAACCTTCACTTCCTCACCTACTTGCCTATTGTGTCAACTCAATTCTGGTTAAACCCCAGCATCTGTTTTCTCTGCTACTATTCTTAAGCTGTCAAAAAGTGGGGAAATAGTCATAAAATGGCATTAACTGTGATCACTATTAAGGGATGCTACACTCCACATAACACATATACTTTTAAAATGTAAGTTTACTCCATGAGGTAAGGCACCCTGTCTGTTTTGCACACTGCTGTATCTCTAGTACTGTAGCTATTACACAGCACGCTGCAAGGCACTCAATCAAATCTGTAAAAATGAAAGTACTGCTATGTATCTCCGGTTGCCTTCTTAGTTCTCTACTGTGAATCTCACAGCCTTACTACTTTCTCCAAGTCTCAAATCCACTTTCCTCCTTCAGAAGAAAATGGCCAAATCTCCTATTGAAAAAACCCAGGTCTTCCAATTTAACTCAATTACCCTTTATTTTTATTCCTCTTATCCATCATCTTCCCCAATGTGCTAAAAGGAAAATTTTATAACTAATTTTATAATTATTGTTTATTTTACTAAAGCCTACCATACAGCAATCACTCTAGTATTAACTCTCATACACACTCACATGTGACCTTGCCCTTGAGTTCCATTTTTCTTGCCTTGTTTTGTTAGTCTTCCAATTTAAAAAAAACCCACTGAGAAGTATAATTAAGATACCCGTCAACTACCTATTTGTACTTTCTCATAAGTCTCATTTCATATCCTCACAGGAGAACTATAAAATAAAAATCTGTCTGCTTTTGTGGAAAGTAAGAATATATATTAATTTCTACCAAACTTTTTTTTTTTTTTGAGATGGAGTCTCGCTCTGTCATCCAGGCTGGAGCGCAGTGGCACAATGTGAGCTCACTGCAACCTCCCCCTCCCAGGTTCACGCCATTTTCCTGCCTCTGCCTCCGGAGTAGCTGGGACTACAGGCGTCTGCCATCACGCCCGGCTAATTTTTGAATTTTTAGTAGAGACGGGGTTTCACCATGTTAGTCAGGATAGTCTCAATCTCCTGACCTCCTCATTCGCCCACCTCAGCCTCCCAAAGGGCTGGGATTATAGGCGTAAGCCACCACGTCCAGCTGATTTCTACAAAATTTTCAAAATGAACTTTCTTAAAATTTTAACAGTAGAATTAAATTTAGGTTATTTCTTTCTGAAGTTTTTTATGAAGAGATATTATTTCTAAAAAGCTTTTAACAAACTTCTAATTATCTTTTAGTCATTTTTCCAAACTGCCCTTTGCAAACAATTATTTAACTTCTCCTAGTAAACTTACATTCTACAGCACTGACTTTATTCCACTGGACAGAGAATACCTTTATGTCACTTGCATTTGACTATGCACTAAAAGTAATGTTTAAAGTAATTTTATACCAGGAAAGGGAGATTGAAGTATAAAAAAGAATAATAAAGTAATTTCAAACAACTAAACTTCGGCCAAGGTATAACAAGTTCAAAAAGTAGAGTTCATGAACAGCCAATTAATAGGAAGGTTGTAGAAGAGCACCCGAGATTGAATGGATTTGGTAAGAGAGGCTATTCAGTTACAGGACAAATTCAAACAGGTTAAAAAATTCTGGGAAAACAAATAAATTTCAAACAGTACTGCATAAACCATTCTAGTACTTAATAATTAGGAATGACATGGCCTTTCCTAACAAAGACATACGGGCAGGCCAAAGCAGCATGCCGAAAAACAGAGCAAACAGGGCGGTGAACCCAGAATGTTTGTTTACTAAGCAGAGAGGGTCCTCAGTCATGCACTGTTATTTTGATAGCAGTGTCCACCATAAAGTCTTCTTCAACTCTAATACAAAGGATAATACAGACGATAATGTCAAATTACCTGTTTAGAAACTAGTTTTTGCAGCTCAGAAACTGCTCCTTTCCTGCTCCACACTTCAAAGCTGTTTCCTGCTTAGGATTAAAAATATGTATCACTTAAGTAAATTACTTACACTACGAAATATAGAATAACAAATACTACAGTTTTGGTCTAAAATAGGTTTAGAAAGATCAAAAGAAGGGAAAAACATAATTTATCCATATTTTAAAGTTACCTGAATTCTTTTGGAAAATAGTGTGATATGCATTAATGCTTAAATCCTCCGAACTTCTAAAATCCTACCAAACAGCAAAGTAGTATCTACTTCGGAACAGTATAACAAAGATGGTTAGCCCTAATTATCCTTTAATAGTCTATACCAAAGTTTACTCCTTTGATTGATCGAGCTTCCTGTTACTCAAACTATTTAAGAACCTCGTATATCCGATGATTTTAAAATGCTCTTTTAAAAGCTATTGTACTTCACAATAAAATAACCTTTTCACTACATAAATACTAGGTTTACCTTCAATTCAAAAAAACTGCATTATATTGGTGTTCAGTGGCCCTCACCAGGAAGGTGCTAGGGAAAGAAAGGAGCAGGTGCACCCGAGGCTCTGCAACACCCACTCCCGTAACCAGAGAACACCAGCAGGTGGAGTCTGGAAAGCGGTTATGGGGCGGGGGTGGTAGGGGCGCCCAGAAAGCCCGCTTCTTCCAGCGCCCAAACACGAACATTCACCCGTAAGACACACGATACAGACCTCAGCCCGGCCAAAAAAATAAAATAAAATAAACCAGGCGAGTTCCTGGGGAGTGGGCTGAGGGATGCAAAGTTGGCGCGCCCAGCCTCCCTGGCGTGGCCTAATCCCCAAACGCCAGTTTCTGCAAACCAAGCAACGTTTCCCCCAGTCCCACTTGGCATTTACTCTTTCCCGGTTCTAGGCCCAATTCTAACTAGATCTGCAGGAAAGGAGAAAAAAGGGGCAACAGTAACTACATTAACATTCCCAGGAACGCCTCCCCCGGCCCCTCGGCTCCCACAGCACCGAGACGGCGGAAATCCTGCAGCTCAAAACCCAACTGCAACTCTTCAGAGTCGCGTCGCTCCTCATCCGCCCTTCTGCCCCCCAACTCTGGACACCGAGACCTCCACAGAATAAAACAGGAGGGAACGCGGGGATGAACTATGGCCACCAAGGCCTGTTTCTCTGAGAACTCGACCCAGTTCCCCTGGCACCCAAACCAGAGCCCCTGCTCCGCTTCCTCCGCCCGCAAGGGGCATTCCCGGAGCCACTGGAACGCGGGGCGGCCTATCCGGCAGGGCGAGCAAGAGGTGCGAGGAGGCAAGAAGGGGGTCCTGCAGTCCCCAACGCGTCCCGAGGTGCTCACCCGGGGATTCCGGCGGTCGGTCCTGAGGGAGGGGGCGGACTGTCCGCCTCGGGCACAGGAAGCTCAGGGCAGGAAGACCCGGGAGCCTAGCGAGGAGGCGTGGGCCCGTGGCCAGACCCAACAGGGCCAAGTGTCCCGGAGCCGTTACTCTCCCGCCCCTGGGGCGCGCCGCCCTCGGTTGCCAAGGGCTGGGGACGCGCAGGCATTACCTCTACAAGCAGCAGCCTCTCCCGTCAAGGGCGGAGCGGCGGTCAGCCCCCACGACCCGCCACCGGCAGCGGTCAGCCCTTGGAGACCGCAGCAGAGAGGCCCACACGTTTCCTGGCTGCCTTGGCCCCAATGGCCGCCTTTTCGACCTCAGCTACGCAGCGCCAACCGCCGCAGCCACCGCCATCTTAGGATCTCATTGTGGTGGGAGAAGAGGGGCGGGGGGACTGCAGAGGGGGCAACGCGCGGCGGAACATGCGCCGTCTCCTCGGCAACGGCCGCGCGGGGGCGAGAACTCGCCCGGGCGCGAGAACTCGCCCGGGCGGGAGCCGCAGTGCGCGCTACACGCTAGACTGGAGTCATGTGACCCGCCGGAGTCTGTGGTGTCGTTTCTGGCTCTCTAAGTCGAAAACAGATTAAACGAACGAATCCGCCCCCCCCACGTCCAGGAACTACGTATCCCAGAATGCCACCTAGACCCCGTGTTCTAAACGCCTGCCAACCACAGGTGGAGGACTACAGATCCCAGGATGCTGTGCGCTGCCGGCGCTGATCGCAGAACGTGGGGCCCTAGGCCTATGCGGAAGTGGATTGGTCCCTCAAGCAGTGGAGAAAGAGCCGAGGCGCGGTGCAGTTTTTTCGTGGGGGTGTCAGCTCTGGCCGTGCCAGAAGAAGGAGCCAAGACCGGGATCGCTCTTCTGCTCCTCCCTCACCTACAACCCGGTCACGAAGAGGTGGAAACAGAAGGACACTTACAATGTAGTCCAACCTCTTGATTTTACATGTGAGGAGATTGATCCACGGAAGTTAAACAATTTGCCAAACGTCATATGTACTACTGAGTGGGAGAATCATAAATATTGTTGATATTTAATGCTAGTTTTGGTTAATGTCCTTTTTCCTTAAAAGAGCCAGATGATTTTAATCCAAACTTAATTTCAGTAAATTTTCTCTGAATTATCTTTTTATTTATACTCTCCTGTTACAGCTCTATTAACATTAGTAAATTGGCAGATCCTGTCTTTAAAAAACAAACAAAAATCAATAAAGTGACAAGGCCTTCAATGTACCTGACTGGAAAGTTAAAACACGTGTCAGTTTTAGTTGAGCGCAAGGGCATTCTTCTAGTTCTACGCAGTTTAAAATTACGGGATAACTTTTTAAGCAAAATAAAGGTAAAAAGAGGAATTGCTTTCTGGGTCTCAACAACAAAAACAAATTGTTCCCAAAACAGTAGATCTGCATCTCGGTACACAATTCAGATAAAGCCCTTCTAACCCACTGCAATTTGCCACCGTAGGTTCAGTAGTGAGTGCATTGATCGTTTGCACTGATACTCGTTTGTCAGACACTGTTTCCTCATATTCTGTGCGTGTATCGTTAAGTACTGAGGTAGCAAAAATATAGTCCCTGCCGTTGAAGAGCTCATTTTAGTGAAGGACGGAAAAGTGGAGTGTGATGTAAATAAATTTCGTGTCGTAAAAAAAAGTGCTGTGGCAGCTCAGAACACAGAGCAGCTAAACGCTCAGGTGTTTATTGTAGTCCAGAATGCCCCATCCTAATTCCACCACTTCAGGATCCTGGACAAGCGACATGCCTTTCTGAGCATTAATTGCCCCGTCTATGAAATGAGGGAGAAGGAATAATACTGTCTACCCTGAAGGGATTTTTTGAAGAATGTTCTTAGAGTTTATTTTATGCCAGGCACAGTGTAAAGCCCTTCGGTTGTTATGATTTTCTTAATCCTGACAGCTACCCTGAAGAGGCTGGTTCTGCATCTGACCCGTTTTAGCAATGAAAAGTTATATAAATCACACTTTTAGCAGCTACAAGTGGTAGAGCCTACATTTAAAAGGAGGTCTGCCTGATTCCTTAAAGATTTTTTTAATTAAATAAAATGCATATGAAAACACTAGTGTATGTTGAGGCCCAAAATATTAGCTATCATCGTTATTTTGTTTTATACATATGTATTATTATTAAACGTATGTAGAAACTGTTATTAAAACAATTCTAATAAATTCAAAAGCGTGAAATTATAATACCTACTAGTCATTATGTTTTCTGAATTTATGAAGCCCCAGAATGTCAATACTATTGTTTGTTAGGAGGTAGGAGGAATCTGAGAAATATTTACGTTGAAATGTAGAAGCTGTTACCATTAAAATAATTCTAATAAATTCGAAAGCATGAAACTATAATATCTACTAGTCATTATGTTTTCTGAATGTATGAAGCCCCAGAATGTCAGTACTATTGTTTGTTAGGAGGTAGGAGAAATTTGAGAAATATTTACATTAAAAAAGGTTCTCAAACTCAAATATGAGCATTCCTGATCTTTGTAGTTCTCCTACAAAGGGAAAAAAAAAACCAGAAAGCGACAAAATTATCCCTGGCTTTCAGAAACTTAACATCTATTTTTAGAAACAAACTTTACAAAATGAGTCAATTTAGTATTAATAGAGTGTCACTATGCCAAACATATGATGTAGACACTGACTGCTTTAGTGATTTAGATTTTTAAAATAGGGATGTTCTGTCTCAGAGATAATGATAGCTCTAGGATTTATAGGTGAGATGAAATTAGGGGCAGCAGTCTGTGGAAATGTAGATAGGAAACAGAAGAATGGCCTCTGAGAGATAAACACTGAAACTGCATTTCAGTTTTCCACATTCAAGAGAACAACCTAACACATGTATTAAATGTGCAGGGGGTGGAAGTTCCAAATCTCAGAATGATGTTCAAGGAAGTGGGATATACCAAGAACACAGACCACACATCCAGAATAAGCGATGGACAACAAGCAGACTGGCTGACGTAGAGGATTTACATATGGTAAGTGATGGGGAGGTGGGAGAAGGCAAGGTTTATTAGCAGGTTGGGGCCAAACTATAGAAAGTCAACTACTTATCTAAAGAGTTTGGGCTTTGTTCTTCAAGTAGTGTGAAACCATTTGAGACTTTGGAAGAGGGCAATGCTGTAATGAAATGGTTATTTGAAGACTTCAATCTAGTGGCAATGTTTTGGAAAGACTAGGAAGAGAAGACAAGGAGAACAGGTGCCAACCTGTCATGAAGTAATGAAGGCTTGGCCTGAGGTAGTAGCAGGATGAATAAAGTAAGGGATTTAAATTTTTATTAACGTAAACTAAATCAGTTGTTAAGATGTGAAAATACTATTTCTGTTTCTTGATATGTGGTAGGTGGTACTAACCAGGTGGTACTTACAAGATAACACAGCCGGGCACGGTGGCTCACGCCTGTAATCCCAGCACTTTGGGAGGCTGAGGCGGGCAGATCTTGAGGTCAGGAGTTCGAGACCAGCCTGATCAACATAGTGAAACCCCGTCTCTACTAAAAATACAAAAATTAGCCAGGCGTGGTGGCATGTGACTGTAATCCCAGCTACTCAGGAGGCTGAGGCAGGAGAATTGCTTGAACCTGGGAGGCAAAGGTAGCGGTGAACCCAGGTCATGCCATTGCACTCTGGCCTGAGCGAGACTCTGTCTCAAAAAAAAAAACCAAAAACTTGGCCCTATATTGTTTATCTCTTTAATCTTTAGGCTCCTTATCCACAGATGGATTGTAAGCATGTCTGTAACAGAAACCAAGCCTTTTGTACTTTTTATCCTTTGAAAAGCAAGTTTTCTGCAATACCTAATTTTAACCTGCAGATGGTGATAGAACTTAAAGGGAAAATCTTCAGGGCCACTACACTGCTTTATAACTGGATGTTATTTGTTTTTATTATGTGATTTTTTGATACAGCCAAAAGAATATATAACATACATGTAAACTCTATAGTACAATATTGACAACCGGGTGCATTATACGCCTGTAATCCTAGCTACTTGGGAAGCTGAAGCTGGAAGATCACTTGAGGCCAGTAGCTCCAGAGCAGCCTGAGGAACTTAAGGAGACAGTTTCTACATACATACACAAATACATACATACATACATAAAGTATAATAATGAGAGAAACACTCAAGAACCCACAAACTAACCTTGAATAGAATTTAATCAAAATGTGTCCGGGCAAGGTGGCTCATGCGTGTAATCCCAGCACTTTGGGAGCCCGAGACAGTTGGATCATTTGAGGTCAGGAGTTTGAGACAAGGCAACATGGTGAAACCCCGCCTCTACTACAACTACAAACATTAGCCTGACATGGTGGTGCAAACCTGTAATCCCAGTGAGGCTGAGGCAGGGCAATATCACTTGAGCCTGGGAGGCAGAGGTTGCAGTGAACAGAGATTGTGCCACTGCACTCCAGTCTGGTGACAGAGCAAGACTTCATGTCAAAAAAAAAAAAAAAAAAAGAACTTAATCAAGATGTTTAAGGACTACTCCCTGTCGCATTTTCTTCAAACTGTTTCTTCTTCTTTGCAGACATAAATACTATCCGGAATTCAATGTAATTCCTTCATTTTATTCATATGACTATGGATATCCCTAAATAATACGTTTGATTTTGCTTGTTTTCAAGCTTTATATAGATGATATCATACTGAATATATTTTTGCTTGACTTGCTTTTTTCATTCAACATTGTGTTTCTGCGATTCATCCATTTTAATGGGTATAAACCCCAAATTTATTAAAAGCAGAATGTAAAATTAATTTTTGAATATTCCTTAAAAATATGACTTGGCTTTCTGGGTAACTTAATGGAAGAAGAGATTGGTCATGCCAAACAAAGGACTCATTGGAGGCCTCTGACCCAGTTCTTACACCTTTTGGTTAAATTTTAGCACTGTTAATTTCTCTACCTTTTCATCTAGCGCAGAGTTTCTTAACCTTGGTACTATTGACAGTTTGGGCTGGGTGATTCTTGTTATGGGGTCGGTCCTGTGCATTCCAGGAGGTTTAGCAACATCCCTGGCCTCTACACACTGTTTACCTAGAGCAAACCCCTGCCCATTGTAAAAACCAAAAATGTCTCCTGGCATTGATTGCCAAGCATCCTCTGGAGTTTGGGGAGGGAAATTTTTTTCCATAACTCTTTTGCTCCGAAACTTAAAGGTTGATGTATATAATCTAATCAACCAGCCGTTATATAATTATATCAACTAATTCTATCAAATCCACATGCATAAGTAATGTTTCAAGGCTCTTTTTGCCTTGCTCTGTTTCCCCTATATCTAATTACCAGAACATCTCTCATTACTGCCTAGTTTGGATTCTTTATTATTAGATTTAAAAATATCTAATTACTGCTGTCGACATACAATATTAACGTTTA